AAAAAAAAAAAAGATTAAAGGGAATAAGGTTTGTGATAAAGAATGGAATGTGGGTCTAAACCAGGCCTCCAAATCAAAGTCTCGGACAGAGACTCAAAGGAAGCAGACATGTTGACCCAAGGGATTCAATTTCTGTGCACATTACCATGCTACCTTCATTCGGTTTTCCAGAGCATCGGCTTATTATGCACAGAATTCATGCTAATCGTAGACAAACAACAAAAAACTAAACACTAAGAATTAAAACCAGGAAGAAATATACATAATCTGAAGCAAAGCCAGCACCAGGCACCAGCCACCAGATATGACATATGGGGCTCTCGGTTCTCCTGGTTAACCCATTTATAGAGTGCCGGCAGGAGGAAGAGGTCTGCTAATGCTAGGGTTTTCCTCTTCGCCTCTCAAAATACCAAAACACCCATGTCATTTGGTCGAAATGACATAAATACCTCCACATCATCAGTGTTAGTAGTTTGAGTTTCTTGTTTATTTATGTACCAGGCCCATTAAACATAATACACTGAGCTCACTTAGCTCAATAAAGCCCAACCATATATAACTCGTTTTACTGTATGTCTATGGCCTCCCCCAATCATAACTCATGGATTGGGTGGAAACCAAGAACAATTCCCCCTTTTCTTAACATTCTAAAATATATATATATATATATATTTAGATGTATATTTTACATTTTTTAAAGAAAATAATTGATACATATTCAATTCAACAAACTTTTTAACATTTATTTTAATTCTTTTTTTTTATATTGGTTGTATAACAAGATACAACTCTCTTTCATCCCTTATCCCACCTCATCCACATACCATACGATTAGAATTTATGATCTTTTATTTTTAACGAAAATAAATTATTACTGAGATATTTAAGTTGTTGGCCATTTTAATTCAATTAATAAAATATAATATAAATATAATTAATTTTTACATCTTGTTGTTTATAAGGTTTGGTATAATTGTTAAAAATTATAAATACAAGGCATATCGTGTTTACTTGGGAAGAGTATTTATCTTCTACATACCCTACGATTTTTTTCTAGGCCAAGGCACTTTTGAGGAGACAATTCTTGACAAATTAGGCTTGGGACTCCACGTCTTTTAAAAATGTTAATATTTTTACAAAACATAGAAAAAGTTATTTGTTTAGACTAAAAATATTTAAAAATTTTCAAACCATAATAATCTTTTTCTTTTTTTTGGTTTTCTGTCCGAGTTTTAAAGTTTCATCCCGGTTGATCCAGACCAATCCGGTTGACGCACCCTATGATGGATTGAGTCTTCCAAGAAAGCTGCTCCAAACCATAATAATCTTTACCCCAAATAAAACAAGAAATCTTGGATTAAAGCTATCCTATTAGATTTGACACAAAACCTAACCCGTTTGGATGGCAGAGGCTGTAGGCTGGTCCCAGCGCGGCGCGATTTCATGACTTTCACTTTCACTTCCACATTTTTCACAGAATGGTTGAATAGGCCGGGCAGGCAACATCAGGGCACTAATTCATTTTCAATGGAATCGTTGAGACGTTGATTTTTAAATTCCTTGTAGAGAATGCATGTTGTCGGCTTACGGGGAGCCGGAGGCGTGCATTTGACGCCTTAACAACTAAGCAAACCAGCCTTAAAACACGAAACTCAACCCCAGTTCCTTCACAACCCATTTCTCGAATATCAGTTCAGAAATGGCAGCCAGGTTTTCCCCGTCGGAGATGTCCAATACTGCATCAACATTGCTCTCCGCCTATGCCTCCTTCACCGGAACCATGATGCTCTTCCGCTCCATCACCAGAGACTTCATTCCTGAGCCGCTCAGATCTCACCTTTACTCTTTATTTCACTCCCTCTTCACTCCTCTCTCTTCCAACCTCACTCTTGCCATCGACGAATTTGCCGGTATGTCGAGGAACGAATTCTACGACGCCGCCGAGCTCTATCTCGCCACCAAGATCAGCCCCAAAACAGAGCGGCTCAGGCTCAGCAAGACCCAGAAACAAAAAAATTTCACAATCTTAATCGACAAGAATGAAGAAGTCGTCGATAATTTTGAGGGAATTCAGTTGAAATGGAAGTATGTCTGCATGGAGCCTCAGAATCAGAGTCAGTTCTCTAGAGAGAAGAGATTCTTCAAACTCATCTTCAGCAAGAAGTTCAAAGATAGAGTCTTGCAGTTTTACTTACCTTATGTTTTGCTTAAAGCTAAACAAATCAAAGAGGAATCCAAAGTGATTAAGATCTATAGTCGCCATTGTGTCCATGGCGATGACGATGGAGATAATATGGGCATCTGGGGTTCCATGAATCTCGAGCACCCGGCCACATTTGATACCATAGCCATGGATCCAGAACTGAAGAAGATGATAATTGATGATTTGGAGAGGTTCGTGAGCAGGAAAGAGTTCTACAAGAAAGTTGGCAAGGCTTGGAAACGAGGGTATTTGTTGTACGGCCCTCCGGGTACCGGGAAGTCTAGTTTGGTTGCTGCCATGGCTAATTATCTCAAGTTTGATATATACGATCTGGAGCTTGCAAGTATATATTCCGACTCGGACTTGAAAAATGTACTGTTAACAACGACAAACAGGTCAATAATTGTCATCGAGGACATAGATTGCAGCATTCAAATTCAAGACAGAGACATGGAAGGCGAATTCGATGGGTCTTTCCAAAAGGTTAGTCAAAAGGTCATTACTTTCACTCTGAAAACTAGCTTAAGTTCAACTTACTCTTGTCAGAGACTCTGTTTCCTCTGTTTTTGTCCCTGCAGATAACACTATCGGGCATACTCAACTTCATCGACGGTCTGTGGTCAAGCTCCGGGGACGAGAGAATAATTGTGTTCACAACCAACCACAAGGACCGGCTTGATCCGGCACTGCTGCGGCCAGGCCGGATGGACCTGCACATCAACCTATCGTATTGCACAGTTGATGGGTTCAGGATCCTGGCTTCAAATTACTTGGGGATAAGAAATAAAGAGCATCCCCTGTTTGGGGAAATCGATAGGTTGATACAGAACACGGAGGTGACCCCAGCAGAGGTGGCAGAGGAACTGATGAGGAATGAAGATGTTGATCTTGCTCTGGAAGGACTTGTTAAATTCATTAAACGAAAGAGGAGTGAAATTGAGGAGGGAGATGTTGAAACGGAAGAAGCAAAGAGTTTGAAAACCGGTAATGAGGATAAAGCAATTGAAATTGGGAATAACAGAAGAGGGGCGGTGAGAATGGGAAGAGGTAGGGGAAGAGGAAGAGGTAGGGGGATGTCGAGCAGGGGTCTGAGAAGAAGTTACCCAATATTAGCCCGCCCTCCTCGATATTAAGAAAAGAAAATTATACACTATTACGGGGAAATTTTGTCTCACCATCCTTTATCTTCTCGGATCATGGATTACCTGGAAGGTTTGGTGAAGATGCCCCCAAGTTCAGCTGCAGCACATCTGCAGGGAAGTGAATATGTGTGGTGATAAGTTTGCTGCTATGGCTCATCTTAGTTCTTTGGCTTATGCCTCTATGTTGTCTGCCCCATGGGCATTTCTATGTGTTCTTTGGCTCATCACTAAGAGCTGTTTAGTGAGGTTGGAGGTTTGATAGAAGTTTTACTTGAGAGAATATAGTGTAAAAGTCTTGTTTTTAAGAGTAATTTTAAAAGTGAAAAGTTGTTTAGTAGATTTTTTATAAAAGATCTTTTAATTTAATATAATATTAAAATGATTAAAATGTAAATTTTTTTACTTATTAAAACACCACTCC